TTATAGATTTTTTTAGGATTTTTTTTTATTAAAATCGAATTTTTGGTTTTTATTTATTTATTTATTTTTGTACGGGTACCGGGCCGGGTCGGGCGGGCCAACGGGTCGGATTTGATCACGGCCGTTTGATCTCAACGGCTATAAGGATCCAACGGCCAGCAATTTTTTATTACTTTTTTTTTTAATTCAGACCGTTGGGCCCGGCCTGGCCCGGCCCGGCCCGCAGCCCGGGCCCAACGGTAACATTTCTGTCAGGCTGTCAGCAGGTCAGTCGTCAGACGGGTCGGGTCGGGCCGGTCCAACCCGGCCCAACCCGAATAATAAAATATTTTTTTTTTAAAAAAAAAAAGCGGCGGGTCCAAACCCGGCAGCGGGTCCAAACCCGGCAGCGGGCCAATCGGTCCCGGCCCGGCCCGGCCCGCCGGGACAAAAAAACCGTGACCCTTAACCGGACCGGATTGGCCGCGGTCCGGTTCTATAAACCGGCACTATTCATGCTGGTACCAGTACCGGGTCGGGCCATGGGCCGGGCCGCCCGTGACCATGTCTACTCCAACCTTTTATTTAAATTGACAACGCGACTAATAAAATAAATATAACCTTATAAATAATATTCAGTAAATAGAATATTCCGCGAAATTCTATAAATCGAACGGGGCGCTATAATTTATCCTCCTTAAAATATTTTTGTCCTCGGAAATACTAAAAACACGCATCCAAAAGGGAAAAATGACAGTCTCAAACGAGAATTTCTAATCATGAGATTCGGGTATCCCTTCCGAAACTCGACCCCGCTCGCATGAGTCCTATCGTCCTATACTCAATAAGCATACACTCACATACAGGACCCAGTACGACACGCCCTATGCTCATATGTTTACCTTCTTGAATGTGAGGGTGATCAATCCTGCCCGAGCTCAGGCGCACATCCTCTTGCAAGGGATCCAGTCCGGCTTGGCCTATACTTATGAGTATCAACAATTAGCTCTGATTTCATCACGGGTCGCGTGTCTCTATCAGAGACATCGACACGGTATCACACATATAGTCAACACAACTCCATTATGCTCATACTCCTAAGATATCGACTCCATGTAGCCCTTATGCGTTACATAAGGCTCCGTCCAGTGGCAACACGAATTTCTCTATTTGCCGACTCGAGAACTCTGGAGTAAGACATGGGAACTCTTCGACTACACCCCTTAATCAGAAATCATCGATTAAGGATTTATACATATATTAGTGGGACTTTGAGTTCTCGGTTCAAGGCTCGAAGGAAAAGGTTTAGATAGGCTAACCAAAAGGTCCAGCATGATACGGTTCGAACAGTTCAGGAAAAACATCGATGGTTGGCCGTATACGATGGCCTGGGGAGTTCGTGCGTTCGGTGATGGCGGCTGTAGTTTTCATGCGAGTCAACGATCGGCCGCGCGCAAGCCCCACGTCTCTCAGCATGGTCGTGCGTGCTCGGCCACCACTTCGCGTGGCTACACCCAGCCAGGGTCGGCTTTTGGTCCAAGGTTCCACAAGGAATTTACAATTTAAGACAATCCAAGAAAAAGGAATTGGTTTCACCAAATTCGATAATTTTGGGTTCAACAAAACAGTCTTTATATCAGGAATTTCACAATATTCAAAAGTTTAAGGGTTTCGGAAACAGCAAGGTGCAAGTCCGAGTTCCAAATCCACTTCCTTTCCAAACGACACATAATGTTGCAATACTTGTACACAACAAAAACAAGTGTTTGCAAAGGATAGCAAAAGTCCCGAGACCACAAAAGGTTTCTCCCGAAACTCCATAGAGAGTAGAAGAACGAGAGTTTTTCTATAATGGACAAAATTCAAAACCAAGACGGTTCTGCACTTCACGATGTGCTTGCTCCGGACTTGACTATTCTCCTTAAAATATTCATGCATAATCTTTTAAGGTGGAAAAAAACACTCCTTGACATGCGTCAAATCACTCCATCATCAGTTCAAGTTGTTTCCGGTAAGTTCCGCTACCGCTAGAAAATCGCTCGTGGCTCAATATTCGGAAGAGAATTTTCTCAATAGAATAGATCACTGTCGCCTTTCTCAAGGCCTAGCCACTCTCGAGGGTTGCGACTGTGTTACATATCAAGTTTCCCCACCACGCCTTGAGGTCGAACAACGGCCAAAACAACGCACCCAGACTCTACTGTCAGTTTGCATTCGACTGGGTTCTAGTACGCATCTAAGGGTCCCATCGACAACGGTTACAGACTCCCAAATACCCATACAACGGGGACTTCTTCGGTCGTCTGTTCCCTTCATTCAAGCCTTCTCCTTTCGAGATGGAATTGCGAATGGTCCTCACATGAGGACACCAAGTTTTTATAGCGAGAGCACTGCTATAAACAGAATTCAACTGGATAACATCATATCGAATTTCCAAACAAATAAATTCTCAAGTCGGAACTTAACTCTATACCGCTAGAGTTCAAGTTCATACAACTAAGTCTGCACTCATCTAGAGTTGAAGAATGTTCAAAAGCAGGAGGATAAATTCCTAAGCCCCGATTTCATTTCAATAATCAATAATCAAGCAATGCACAATAAATCAAAATCATTCAGGTACCCATACCTGATCTGGCGCGGCACGACGAGAGCGAGTGGTCATAACTTAGGGTCAAGCACATAATCACATAATTCACATTAACCAGTCTACAGAAACGCAGACTGACTCTGATACCAAACTGTAACTTCCCACTTTTATTTGCCGAAAATCATAATAAATTTTTCAAATTTATTTCAAAACACTTGAGGCACTACTCATTTTCAAAACGAACTTCAATACTTAACCAATTTTTCAATACTTAATCAATCATCCATCCTCATTCATCATTATTAAAAATTCAAATAATCAATAATGCCATCTAAACAATCCAATAATCAATACCCTAGGGAATACACTCCCTATCAATAATCCAATAATCAATAATAAAGAAAACGATAATATCAATATTCAGTTTCAAAGGCGGAAGCAACATTAATTATTAAGACCACCACTCGCATCCCTCCGCCGTGCCTGCAATACTAACATGCATCCATGAAGAGCAGGTGGGGATGAGCATAAGAGGAAACAATAGTGCTCACCACTATGCCATAATCAACAATCATAATATAAAACTGATAATGTCACAGCATGGTCACAAATCAATAATATATCCCATCTCCTATCAATAATATATACTCATGTGCACATCTCTATAAAGCTACTGAGTGTCTTCGTATCGATCGCCTTCCGTCAAGGCTCATCATATAACTTATATAGGCACCAATATAATAGACTAGGGAAGTCACCCATTACCTTACTCTATAGGGGAGACGAGAAATGGGTAGGAGAGACGTTGTGATCAAGTGGTCGACGAGGGTTTCGAATCCTCCACTACCTCGTTGCTCCCTTGGCTGGCTTCGCCTATGACCAGCAAGTCCTCTGCCGAAGACTCGGATTCTGAGGGCAACCGGTTATCCTCCCACTCCTTGCCCAGCCGAACAACTAAGTCATAGAAATTTACCGGTGCGGGTCCTAGATGGGCCCGAGGGCCTTTGCTTGCGAGGTCATCACATATCTTCTCGGCTATCCTTCTCCAAGTCATGATCAAAACTGTTTTTAACTTCTCGATTCCCATCTCATGAGTGACGCCAGGGCATCCCAAACTTCGTAGTTCCACCCATTTATTAAACACCTCTTGAATATCTCTCCAGACTTGAAAAAGATGTCTCGGGTGGAATTCCTCGAATTCTCTCAACTTTTGACGTTTGACCTCCTTTGAAACGGGGCCTGGTCTATTCGACATCTCGGCGAAATTAGCGAAGCCCGAAAGAAAACTCCAACGGCCATCGGGGTATGGCCACTCAGAAACAAAAATGAAAAAAAAACCTCGGGCGGCTCACGCTCTGCATCAGTTCGGGTCCTTAGGCGGACTTCAGAGACTTCTCGGTTTGCCAAGGGGCGGGGCTCATGAGTGCAGCGAGGTTCACAGGACTGCTGCTCGCGACGGTCAGGTGCTCATGGACGGGATGCCGGAAAAAGATCACGGAAGGACCGCGGGGACAGGTGTTTCACCAGAAGTGACCTCCAAGTGGCTGTGGAGGACTGCTGGTTTGCGGTGGTCGCTCACGAGGTCTCGGCGGAGGAGCAGTGACTTGCGGTCGACGAAAAATGACCTGCTGGGGTGTTGCACACGATCGGGGATGACCTGCTCGTCGCAGTGGGAGGGAGCCTGTGTGCCGGAGGAAATCGCCGGCGGCTTCTGCGCGCGGAGGAGATGCTCGTGGAGTTCCTTCACGACGTCGGGGTTGGCGAGAGAGATGAGAGCGAGAGGGAAGTGAGAGACGATGGGGACTCGGGTTTCTCTTCTGAACAATGCAAGAGAACGAGAGAGAGGGGTTCTCTCCTCTTGTGCGCGATCAAAATATAAAGCTAGGGAATTCTCACATTATTTATAAGACTAGCCAAGGGAGTCTTGCCCTATAAGAAACTTACCAAAACACAAGGGAGAAGAGAGAGGAAGCCGGGCGGGTTCGAGGCTCACGGACTTATTCTCGGTTCATTAATTAGATTTTCGAGGCTCGATATAGACGTACGATAAATAAAATAAAATCGGGCATTTATATATATATATATATATATATATATATATATATATAATACACATGATAATAATTAAACACAAAATAGCAATCAGGCAAATTAGATATTTAATGAAAAATAAATACACAATAATAATAATAATAATAATAATAATAATAATAATAATAATAATAATAATAATAATAATAATAATAATAATAATAATAATAATAAAAATAATGACACAAATAATGATAGCGATAATTAATCAATTAGACCAATAATAGAATATTAACAATAATAAAAGAATAATATTAATATCCAAAAACAAATTTAATAATCGAACGGGTTAAATTCGAATTACGTGATTAAACTGAAATCGCTGGACAACGAACGTTCTCCAATCAAAACGATCGAGTACTCCAACCTTTTATTTAAGTCGCCAACGCGACTAATAAAATAAATATAACCTTATAAATAATATTCGATAAATAGAATATTTCGAGAAATTCTATAAATCTAACGGGGCGATACATACGGGCTATAATAGTCGGATTCGAAATCACCTGCAAACAACCTTTTGCAATTTCTAATCTACTATGTGTTGCGTCCGTACACAATTAATTCGCATAAACAGGTAAGTCTCAAACAGTTTACAAAGTTGAATTAAGTCTAGGCTCTAATACCAGTTGTTGGTTTATGCTAGGAACAAAAATGTCATGCACGTTTGAATCAGTCGAAATAAACCCTATCGCAACAGAATCTACAGTTAAGGTTAGAACTTTACCGTTTAAAATTTTTACTGACTTTAAGAAGTTTCTGATTTTCTCAGATTGTCTGAACCGCGGAGTCTGTTAGGCAGCCGGACTAGGCCTTCTCGGTTGAATCGGATCGTCGGGTCACGAACGTATCATCGGGCGCGTGGGTTGCAGGTTTCTTATGGCCGCTAGGACTGGGCACGTGATGGTCTAGGGCGAATAGCATGCGCGGCAAGTGATCGGGCGCGCGGGGATCTCAGGCGGCGATGTGCGCGAGCAGACGTGAGGGGCTGGTGGCTCGCGCGAGTGCTGGAGGTCGTCGCTAGGGACTGCGTCGGCGTCTGGCTGCGTGCGGCTACGGTTGGGAGCTCGCGGCTGCATGTTGGCTGGGCGCGGGCGGCTTTCGACGACTTCGGGCGGCGGTGACCATTTCTGGCGGCGGCGGACGGTGGTGGATCTGGCCGAAAAATAAGAGATCTAAAAGGATCGATTATTTTACCTTATAATTTTATAATGTATTACCTAAAAACCTGCTTCAATTAATATTGGTGGTGCGATTAATCGAATATCTCGAACTCTCGAATATATGAAGAACACGATTTTTCTCTTCCTTTTAGGAACCTTATAATCGAGCTCTCACATGCGTGTAGGAGAAGCGGTTGGGACATACTGTATTTATAGGATAAATTAGGGACTTTAGGAGGTGCTAAATATGAGATTATCCCATTAGGCTTAGAATCCTATTTATGTCCCATATCCTTTCATCTAGGAGTCCTATTCCTCCAAATCCTAATCACCCTTCTAAAAGACTCCAAAGTCTCCTAATCTTGGGGTATATTCTAGAAAGGAATATTCATCTCCTAATGGAATCTAAATTATGAAATATAATTAATTTCTTATTCTTAAACATATTTAAATTATAAAACATCCAATTAGAGTAATATTATTACTCTCTTTATTTAGCTCCAATTTATTCAATAAATTTGTATATCCATTTTATTAATAAATATTAATATAATTGATCGATTTATCTCCCTATGTTTAAGATATAACGTCCGTCGATTAATTTAATTACTGAGAATAAAATTAAATCGACTTCTTTCATTTCTGAAACTAGTGCCACTCAGTTTATTAATCATTATATCAGATATCCACCTACAGGGTTTGACATAATATTACTTCCTGAGCTCATGTCGAATAATTAGTTTATGTTTTATTAGAAACCGATAATATGATCTTTTTGTTCGAAACGACGAACCAAACTATCTACAATGTGAAATAAAGGAGTTATGATTGCATAAATAAATAAACTGCAAACATAAATACTTTGACTAAAACACGATTTACAGATCATAATAGAATTGTCAATATTTGAAAGCCAAGCTTTTACAGCATACCTAATATATAAGCAATCTATACCATTCACCAATGAATCTACAAGAAAAGGTTGAAAGAATCGGGCAATGGGCGCCTCGGGCAGCTTGTCACACGGCCTCGGTGATGGGCGAGCGTGCCCGGCGTACGCGATGATGGACGTGGACATGCGGTGGCTACCAACTGAAGTTGGACGGAGGATCACGTGTGGCTGGTATCGCTGCTCGTGACGAGGTGGTGTGTGGCTGCTGTTGCTCGCGTGCGGAGGCCGTGTGGCGCTGCACAGATGGCGAGCGAGAGGGTGGGCGCGGTTGCCGAGAGAGATGGAGGAGATGGTTCAGAAAATTTTCTGAACCAAGAAAAATAAAGTGTGAGAGGAGGAAAAGTTTTTTAGAATTTTTCGAAGGGGAAGAGAGCATGAGCCATGTGTTAATAGGTGAATTAATAGGGTATTGATTCTCCAATTAATGAGGGGAATCGACGGAGATTCAAGGTGATTATGATTTCCTTAGTTAGAGGCTACTATTGCTCTTTAAGGGCCTTAAAAAATCGGGTCAAGAGGGGTCCAAATGAGGCTAATTCAAATCCTTCCAAAATTAGTCTCCCATATTTGAAATTATTCTAAGGCAAGGGTCACGACCGAATACGACAAGGATTTGGGCAAAAAATAAAAATAAAATCTCCAAGTTCAGATTAAAATGATTCGAAAACGAGTCAAAACGATGAATGAATAAACTAACACCTCAAATTAATTAAAACTAACCATACACATAAATAACAAAAATAAGGACACAAGAACATTTTAATTAAATAAACGAGACAATTTATAATACTCGAACAAGTAATAGTAATTAAAGACAAGCAATATTATAATGAAACAAAAGCAAGCACATATGAGTATAAAGAAAATCACCTAAAATTGAGAGCATGAACAATAAGACGAGCAGATAATAATATTCAATCGCAAGCAATAATAAAGTGAAACAAAAGCAAGCAATAATATAATACAAGCAAATAATATAATATATATAGAAAAATTCTATAAATTGAAAGGAGCACTACACTATGGTTTAGATGATCTCCTACAGACTTCTCAGGGTCCGCAAAAATTTTAAATCGTAAGTCATAATCCTAACTATAGATTCTGTTGCGTTAGGATTTATTATTTAATAGATTTGAATGTGCACAATAGCCGACGTTCCTAATAGAACCCAACAGATCTTATCTGATTATGGCCTCACGGCCGCGAAGCCGGCAACTTTCCCCATGGAACAACATGCTCGATTTGTGGATTCATTTTCTCTCTTGCTGACAAACCCGACGTGGTTTCGTTGACTAATCGATCGTCTTCTGTATCTGACCATCACGCTCGTGAGTTGTGCTACCCAGTTTATTTACTCGCACAATTCATGCAGCAGCCGAGGGAGAGCCATTGGAAGGCGGCCTTATGCATTGTTCGCTACCTGAAGCATTGTCCGGGACAAAGTATCCTACTCCGATGACCGACTTCATTGGAGTTAATTGGATATTGTGACTCTAACTGGGCCAGTTGTCCACTCACACGGTGTTCCACTACAGGCTTTTTAAGACCTTTGGCAGTTGCCCAGTTTCTTGGTGCAATAGAAAAGCAAACAACCGTTTCTTGCTCTTTCGCCGAAGTAGAGTATCGTTCAATGGCAGTCACCGCAAGCAAACTCATATGGCTTCGCAGTTTGCTTTTTTCGCTAGGTGTCACGTTTTCCAGTCCCCTCGTCTGCTATGCGACAATCAATCAGCCCTTCATATATCAGCCAACCCAGTTCACCATGAACACACAATACATATCGAGATTGACTGTCATTTTGTTTGGGAGCGCATTCAATATGGTGAACTAGTTGCCGAGTACGTCCCCACTCGCATTCAGCTTGTCGACATCTTCACTAAAACCCTCGGACGTAATCAATTTCGTTTTCTACTCTGCAAGTTGAGCATTTGTGATCTTCATGCCCCAACTTGAGGGGAAGTATTCAGGATATCATTTAAGATTTACATGATCTTCAAGATTTTTCATGATCCTCTTTTGATAAAGACCAAATACTAGATATTTATGGTCTTTTTTGTATATTATGTTTGTAACACCCCGCCTTACTAGATAAATCAGAGTAGCGCATTTATTCGCAAAGTCT